ATGTATCAATGGACTATTAAGATTCCGACAGTTGGGCACAGGATTAAGATGTAACAAGATGTCTTTTTATCTCCACTTTGAACAGTCCTTGAGACATTTCCTTTTCCCTAGAGTGATGCCTTTAACAAATATCACCATACTTATTGCGAGTACGAGTATGTATGTAAAATTTTTAAGCAACCTCGACTTTTGGCTCACGTGAGCTTAAAATATTGACAGATAATTTACAGTGCAAACCTAAGAAAACATAGGTAATCAGAGATTACAGAGCTCACCTCAACGTGTGTTGTCTTTAAGTAAGGCAAATTAAGTCACACAATTAACCAACAAAAAGTATACATCCTAAAATGCAAAATTTATGCAATTTTGATACTTTCGAATAGACCTATATAAAAACTAAAAACCAGTTCTTCATCATGAAAATGTAATTAAAATCCAGCATCTGAAGAAAGATTGAGAGTTTTCATCCCTTGATGCATCATTTGTGCAACTGGTTTATATAAGCCTTAGTTTCTTGGAGATAGACTTGCACCCATAACTTTTACGAGGTCTATTATCTGGAAAATGTATGTCGAATTCATCATCTGAAGCAAGTCCATTAGTGTGCATCCTCAGATGTATCATCCATGCAAGTTTGGTCAACACAGGGCTTAAAGTTACTTGCAAATGAAACCTGTATAAAAAAATTAACCTTTTCACTAATCCAGAAAATGTACGTCAGATTCAGCATCCGAAGCCAGCCTAGTAGAATGCACCCTTAGATGTACCATCCATGCAAGTTTGGTCATTATAGGGCTCAAAGTTACTTGGAAATGAATCCTGCACCATAAACTTTAACCTGTTTACTCATCCAGAAAATGTAGGTCAGATTCAGCATCCGAAGCAAGTCTGGTAGTATGCATCCTAAGATGTACCATCCATGTAATTTAGTCATTATAGGGTTCATAGTACACTGTACCTTGAAAATGAAACCTTCACCAAAAACTTTAACCTGTTCACTCAACCGGAAAATGTAGGTCAGATTCAGCAGCTGAAGCAAGGCTGGTAGTATGCATCCTAAGATGTATCATCCATGTAAGTTTGGTCATTATATGTCTCATAGTAACTTGGAAATGAAACCTGCACCAAAAACTTTAACCTGTTCACTCAACCAGAAAATGTAGGTCAGATTCAGCATCCGAAGCAAGTCTAGTAGAATACATCCTAAGATGTACCATCCATGCAAGTTTGGTCATTATAGGGCTCAAAGTATCTTCGAAATGATACCTTCACCAAAAACTTTAACCTGTTCACTCAACCGGAAAATGTAGGTCAGATTCAGCATCCGAAGCAAGGCTGGTAGTATGCATCCTAAGATGTATCATCCATGCAAGTTTGGTCATTATATGTCTCATAGTAACTTGGAAATGAAACCTGCACCAAAAACTTTAACCTGTTCACTCAACCGGAAAATGTAGGTCAGATTCAGCATCTGAAGCAAGTCTAGTAGAATACATCCTAAGATGTACCATCCATGCAAGTTTGGTCATTATAGGGCTCAAAATATCTTCGAAATGAAACCTTCACCAAAAACTTTAACCTGTTCACTCAACCGGAAAATGTAGGTCAGATTCAGCATCCGAAGCAAGGCTGGTAGTATGCATCCTAAGATGTATCATCCATGTAAGTTTGGTCATTATATGTCTCATAGTAACTTGGAAATGAAACCTGCACAAAAAACTTTAACCTGTTCACTCAACCGGAAAATGTAGGTCAGATTCAGCATCCGAAGCAAGTCTAGTAGAATACATCCTAAGATGTACCATCCATGCAAGTTTGGTCATTATAGGGCTCAAAGTATCTTCGAAATGAAACCTTCACCAAAAACTTTAACCTGTTCACTCAACCGGAAAATGTAGGTCAGATTCAGCATCCGAAGCAAGGCTGGTAGTATGCATCCTAAGATGTATCATCCATGTAAGTTTGGTCAACATAGGGCTTATAGTTACTCGGAAATGAGACCTACACTAAAAACTGCACCAAAAATGTTAACCTGCACCAAAAACATAAACCTGGTCATTCCTTTGCTGAAATTGCAGCATCTGAAACTTTGACTGGTACAATGAAACACACTAGCAACATCTTCCATGCATGTCTAATCAATATAGGACATAGAAGTACTTAAAAAGAAAACTGCTCCAAAAAACTTAACCTTAACCCGGGACGCCGACGCCGACGCCGAGGGTATCACATAAGCTCCCCCCAACTTCGTTGAGGTGAGCTAAAAACTGTATGAAGTATGCTGGACAGAGTTGTCTTGCCACCCAAAATAGCAGAACACGTAAAAATTTTCATATTCTCAATTCTCAGGCACCGGAAGTCCTATGATACAGGGATTTTTTATGTGAAGTAAATAAACATGTTTTTAATGGTAAGCTCTCTAGCTCTCTGATCATCCATCCAAATGTTTTTAGACCAAGAAGCCACAGATCTGTAGCTATGTGTACATTGAGCCAAGGATACTGTAAGAAATTTTTAAAAACTTGGCTAAAGGGTTCCCAGATAAGGCCCACATTCCAAAAAGTTGACACTGCACTAATGGCCATAGCATTACAGAACATCTTTGAGCCTTTGGCCCAGGAGAGCTAAAAAGGTAAATTCACCTGCATGTTATTTCTATATCTTTGATTCTTTTTTTATAAACAACAAATTCTGGAAACAAGTCTATCAAGTATATTTCATAAATAGACATTCATACACATATATACACAAACATTATAAATCACTATTTACACAATCACAGACATTAATCATGCATAGAAGCTATTATTATGGCAATAAAAATACATCTAAAAGTAAACAGTTAAGCAAACTAAATAAACAGGTGTTAAAGACCAGCAGTTTTCTGAGAAAATGATAAATGTATAAATGTGACAGAGTTGTCTCTCTTTGTAATAAGCTCAAAATCTAATAATATTTAAATACAAAATGCAATTTGGAGTTCTTTTTGAAAAAGCAATGACAAATCTTTTTAACATGGAAGCACAAATAATGGTATCATTAACTCAGAATCAAATTCATAAAACTATTGCAAAAAATGGTCTATGTAAAGCACATGACAAAATTTAATATTAAAAGAGATCAACACCTTTATATTCCAGATTTCCTTACATGAAAATATATTTTAAATTAATCTTTAGATATCATTAACAACTGAAGATTGTCAAAGCAGATCATAAGATATCAAACTTGATCTCAGTAACAACTACAAGGAAAGATTTCTAATTTACTATATTTCCTACTGTAGATTCCTTATTATTTGCGAGTACTTATTATTGCGAATAGGCTATTCAACGTCAAACAGCGAGAATAATAATTCGCGAATGGTCGATTGATCAAGATATTTTTTAGAGATTTCAGCATGATAAAAATAAAGGCGAGTAATTTTATTTGGCGTGTGGTCCTTCTTGCGAAATTAAGCGATAATTAATTCCACGCATATATTTAGAAATCTACAGTATTTCATTGTATTCCAGTAAAATGTTTCTTTAATCCACTGAGTCATTTTGTTGTCAACAAAACAATTTACCGAGAAAATAAAAATAAAAAAACATCACCGTAATGAATTGTGGTATACATTAACATAACAATGCACAAACTAAACCCTGTAAGCCACTAAGTCATGCAAAAACCAGCCAAACCATGTAACAGGAAATCTACCACAGAGTTAAAAGACTGACCATTTAACTTTCTTTGATTTACAGCAGCTGTATTTATATGAAACAATTCCACAAAAAATTTTAACAAATTATATCTATCTGTGAATTTCCTGTCCAATAGGTGTTTTTCTGAAAAACTTTTTCCTAATAATGAATTTACATGTTTATTGTGCAACATTCAAAAAAGTATACTCACACTATAAATGTTTAAAACAGCTAATTTCAGAGACTCTAATGGCACTTTTCCTGTTCACTGTTTTCCTATTACAATGGTTTTTTCAAAGTTTCTAATAAGCTAAATATTTTTCATTCAGTTTAATTATTGCTATAAATGAAAAAGCAAAAATGAGTATAAAAACAGCAGTCAAACATATTTCATCTTTAAAAAGTTCTTCCAGCATATCTTTAAATTTAACGTCAACTTGAAATCAAATGGACAAAACATTGTTGTTTTACTTAGTTCTACAGGTACATTACAAGTAATCTTGTTTCCCTTTATACTAGAAAAAAATATTTGATAAAAAATTTTGACAGAAATAGGTCGAATTCAAAATTAAGAAAAGAAAAAGTCTGCTTTCTTTTTTCATTAATCTACACATCTCTCCTTTAACATCTCCCGTTTATACTTCCTCCTCTCTGCTTTACTCTGTTTTTCTAGTCATTCTCTGATAATGCTGACTTTTATTCCACAATTAATTAAATAAATATCTAGCTATTGGCCATGATCTGCTTCTTGGAGACCTCTTCGTGGTATTTCTTCAGTCGCTTCTTAAGTTCCCCAGGAAACTTTTCATGACATACACGGCACACGGGCTTCAGATCAAATTCAAAGAACTTGGTTCTACAAAAAAAGGAAAGAAACCTTACAGAAAGAAAATCCCAGAAATTTTTTATCTTTGAGTTAATAAAAGCAATTTTTAAAAAAAATGAACTTTCAATGTCAGATGTCAATGTACTTGTTTTACAAACCTTTCAAAATATTTTTTTTTCATTTTTCCTGTGTATTATTTTAAAATCAAGCTGAAGTCTTTGATGAGATTGAGCACTACTTGTTTGTATTTTTAACAGGGGAAAAGAAAAGTAGCATTTGCACTTAAAACTATGCAACAGCAATAAAAAGAATGGTCCATGGTTTAGTTGCTTTGTTGCAAGATTAATTGAAATCAGATAATGATTAAAACTGTTAGAGAAGTAATATTTTGAAGCAATAAATCAAAAAGTTACATTTTACGTAACAATGGCAACATTGTTCATCAAATTCAAAACCCATGCACTAAATTATGAATCTAAATGTACACTACTTGTGTGCCAAGTAATATTGTATCTGGACCAAAACTGTAGGAGGAGTAATGCTTTGAAGGATTAGAACAGAAATTTCTATTTTAAGTAGTACTGTAGTGAAATCAGATTAAAATTGTACCAAAAAAGTTCTCAAGGAATATCAGAGAAATTTCTATTTTTAGTAACCATGGCAACACTAACATTTTACACATAGCTACATGTAAATGTATGGTAAACTTTGGCATTCAAAACAACATGAACAAAGATTGGAAGTTCAAAAGGTTGTTATGATATTTATTTAAATGTCGAACATGCTGAATGCCATGCAACACCATCAAGTGCAAATAATTTAATTTTTTTGAAGTCCTGTATTAATTTTTAAAAATTTTCAAACAAAGTTTAAATGTTAAATACAAAAACAGGATTGTTTTATTATATTGGAAGCAAGTTTTGCATACTCATAATAGTAAAGATGATGAATGTTACTGACTTTCCTTCCTTTCTTTTACTGTCTGATTACCAGATATAGGCAACTGGCCCATTGCACCATGTTGGCTTCAGATTCTACCATGTAAACTATAGACAGATGATTGAGATAACATGTACTCACTTGTGACTCATTTTCCTGTCGCAGATAGAACATGCAAAATGGCCTACACACCAGGACTTGTTAAAGGCACCAAACACTGTAAAATGTATCAGAATTCATCATACTGAATGTAAAAATTGTATCAAGGAAAACATAAGAGAACCTTATCAATAAAATTTTAAATAAAAAAAAAATAGGTATTAGTATAGTCAGAAGAAAAACACTGAAAAAAATGCAACATGTAAATAGAGTAATTTAAATTTATTTTGCTGTCCTATAAGCTGTACAGATTTACAACATAATTATAATCCAGAGAGGGGGAGGATGAAGTTATTTCCCTTGTGTCTGTACTTACCATCTCCTGTGACTACATTGTTGCAAACAAAGCAAATATTTCCAAACAGCTGAAAGGAAAAAAAAATACACATCATAGAGCAAATTCTCATGGCACCAAAATATTTCATATTCTCTTTCACATCTTATTAATAAATACAGATCAAAAATCTATACATTTTCAACTGAATTGCATAAAAAAAATCTGGAATACTTTATTCTAATAAATAAGCTGGTATGTACTGCTCTTTTGTACAAGTACATGAATCTTAACTGTGTACATTCTAGCTGTATCTATTTTGAAAGCTAATGATAATGTAGCTTGATATATATTTTGTTAGTGTATCTGAGTACATGATAATTTTTCCAAAACAATGAAAAAAAGTGATAATAAAATTTGTTATATTTTCCTTTGTGAGGTGCACATTTTACATACACTGAACATCTGTAACAATAATAGATGGAAAAAAAACTTTAAAAGCTGTCAATAAAAATTGCAGAAACATCTGAAAAAGGATACCAGTTTCCCTCAATACTTCATTCCAGAAATCATCAGGTAACACTCAATCAAGTAAATTAAATATCATCAATCAGTTCTGTACAGCGAATCTGACTTATCAAATGATTACTCAGTATCAGGACTAAGTACCTACTATAATGATTCCTATAGTTTTGAGGATGATCAGAGATGAAAATTAGTAATAAGAATCAAAGTTTAACAAACCTGATGGTAATGAGTTTCACAGTAGGCCAGTCCCTTCTTTTCATAGTGACGAGTTCCAAAAAATGGACGTTCACATTTAGCACACACAAAATGCTGAAATCAAGAAACTTTTTATTTAGTACTTTATCTACCGAGGGAAAATGTTAATATATTAAAATTTTCCACTTTAACTAGAAATATGTCCATAGGACATGAATGCCCCGTTGAGGGTATATCAGTAATGCAACATGAAAATTCGAAATTGTGTATGAAATTTCAGAATATCTTGAATGGTGATGCAGTTGAATTGCTAACATCAGTATATCAGCATATGAAATTTAACACTAATTTAAGAAAAGTGAGGTCAAGATCAAAGGTAAGGCCAAGGTAAAAATAATGTTGATGCAGTTGAAAAACTCTCATCAGTATGTATCAGCCTATGAAGTTGAAAAAAATATGCATGGTTTCTTCAAAACTGACTTAATCACAATTTGATAAAAGTGAGGTCAAGGTCAAAGGAAAGGTCAAGGTCAAATGTTGATGCAGTTGAATAGCTCTCATCAGTATGTATCAACAGATGAAGTTTGATAACAAGAGGCCCAAGGGCCTTGAATCGCTCTTCTGATAAATTGTACAACCTATCACTTGTATTTGAAGCCTCTAACCCTAAGTATCCTATTAAAAACCCAAAGTTGCATCACCTGACAAAGTTTGATGATTCTTAGCCAATTAGAACTACTTTTTGGTCTACATTCTTGGAAATCACAAAATGCATCAAGTGACAAAGTATGATTATTCTAAGCCAATAAATACCTAAAATACTTTAAATATAGCCATAATGTCGAAAGTAGGTCATCGTGACCTACATTTTAGTCAACATTTTTCAGAGTCCCAAGATGCATCTGCTGACTAAGTTTGATAATTCTAAGCCAATAAATATCTGAGATATTCAAAAGTAGGTCACTGTGACCTACTCTTTAGTCAACATTCTCAGAAAACTCAAGATGCATCAACTGACAAAGTATGATGATTCTTAATCAATAAGTACCAGGGATACTTAAATATAGCCATAAAATGTCGAAAGTAGGTCATTGTGACCTACATTTTGGTTGACATTTTTTAGAGTCCCAAGATGCATCTGCTGACCAAGTTTGATAATTCTAAGCCAATAAATACCTGAGATATTCAAAAGTAGGTCACCATGACCTACTCTTAGGTCAACATTCTCCGAAAACCAAAGATGCATCAACTGACAAAGTATGATGATTCTAAATCGATAAGTACTAGAGATACATAAATATAGCCATAAAATGTCAAAAAGTAGGTCACCGTGACCTACTTTTTGGTCAACATTCTCCGAAAAAAAACCAAGATGCATCAACTGACAAAGTTTGATGATTCTAAGCCAATAAGTACCAGAGAATACTTAAATATAGCTATAAAATGTCGAAAGTAGGTCATTGTGACCTACATTTTGGTTGACATTTTTTAGAGTCCCAAGATGCATCTGCTGACCAAGTTTGATAATTCTAAGCCAATAAATACCTGAGATATTCAAAAGTAGGTCACCATGACCTACTTTTTGGTTGAAATTCTCCGAAAACTAAAGAGACGTCAACTGACAAAGTATGATGATTCTAAACCAATAAGTACTAGAGATACATAAATATAGCCATAAAATGTCAAAAGTAGGTCACCGTGACCTACTTTTTGGTCGACATTCTCTGAAAACCCAAGATGCATCAACTGACAAAGTTTGATGATTCTAAGCCAATAAGTACTGGAGATACATAAATATAGCCATAAAATGTCAAAAGTAGGTCACCGTGACCTACTTTTTGGTCGACATTCTCCAACCAGAAGTCTCTGTCGAGACTGTAGCTCTACTGGTATGTACTTATCAAAAACCATTGCACTATTTTATGTATCTTTGTGTAGTCTACTTGTGTGCCAACTTATTTTGAAATCAAACTAGAACTGTAGAAGGAGTAGCGTTTTTAAGGAATTTCACAGAAAATTCTATTTTTAGTAACCATGGTAACACCGTTCATCGAAATCAGAAACCGATGCACTATTCTATGTATCTTAGGGTAGTCTACTTGTGTGCCAAGTTATACTGAAATCAGACCAAAACTGTAGAAGGAGTAGCGTTTTTAAAGAATTTCACAGAAAATTCTATTTTTAGTAACCATGGCAACATCGTTCATCGAAATTAAAAACCGATGCACTATTCTATGTATCTTAGTGTAGTCTACTTGTGTGCCAAGTTATATTGAAATCAGACCAAAACTGTAGAAGAAGTAGCGTTTTTAAGGAATTTCACAGAAAATTCTATTTTTAGTAACCATGGCAACATCGTTCATCGAAATTAAAAACCGATGCACTATTTTATGTATCTTAGTGTAGTCTACTTGTGTGCCAAGTTATATTGAAATCAAACTAGGACTGTAGAAGGAGTAGCGTTTTTAAGGAATTTCACAGAAAATTCTATTTATAGTAACCATGGCAACACCGTTCATCTAAATTAAAAACCGATGCACTATTCTATGTATCTTAGTGTAGCCTACTTGTGTGCCAAGTTATATTGAAATCAGACCAAAACTGCAGAAGGAGTAGCGTTTTAAAGGAATTTCACAGAAAATTCTATTTTTAGTAACCATGGCAACACCGTTCATCGAAATCAAAAACCGATGCACTATTCTATGTATCTTAGTGTAGTCTACTTGTGTGCCAAGTTATATTGAAATCAGACCAAAACTGTGGAAGGAGTAGCGTTTTAAAGGAATTTCACAGAAAATTCTATTTTTAGTAACCATGGCAACATCGTTCATCGAAATCAGAAACCGTTGCACTATTCTATGTATCTTAGGGTAGTCTACTTGTGTGCCAAGTTATACTGAAATCAGACCAAAACTGTAGAAGGAGTAGCGTTTTTAAAGAATTTCACAGAAAATTCTATTTTTAGTAACCATGGCAACATCGTTCATCGAAATTAAAAACCGATGCACTATTCTATGTATCTTAGTGTAGTCTACTTGTGTGCCAAGTTATATTGAAATCAGACCAAAACTGTAGAAGAAGTAGCGTTTTTAAGGAATTTCACAGAAAATTCTATTTTTAGTAACCATGGCAACATCGTTCATCGAAATTAAAAACCGATGCACTATTCTATGTATCTTAGTGTAGTCTACTTGTGTGCCAAGTTATATTGAAATCAAACTAGAACTGTAGAAGGAGTAGCGTTTTTAAGGAATTTCACAGAAAATTCTATTTATAGTAACCATGGCAACACCGTTCATCTAAATTAAAAACCGATGCACTATTCTATGTATCTTAGTGTAGCCTACTTGTGTGCCAAGTTATATTGAAATCAGACCAAAACTGCAGAAGGAGTAGCGTTTTAAAGGAATTTCACAGAAAATTCTATTTTTAGTAACCATGGCAACACCGTTCATCGAAATCAAAAACCGATGCACTATTCTATGTATCTTAGTGTAGTCTACTTGTGTGCCAAGTTATATTGAAATCAGACCAAAACTGTGGAAGGAGTAGCGTTTTAAAGGAATTTCACAGAAAATTCTATTTTTAGTAACCATGGCAACACCGTTCATCGAAATCAAAAACCGATGCACTATTCTATGTATCTTAGTGTAGTCTACTTGTGTGCCAAGTTATATTGAAATCAGACCAAAACTGTGGAAGGAGTAGCGTTTTAAAGAATTTCACAGAAAATTCTATTTTTAGTAACCATGGCAACACCGTTCATCGAAATCAAAAACCGATGCACTATTCTATGTATCTTAGTGTAGTCTACTTGTGTGCCAAAGTATACTGAAATCAGACCAAAACTGTGGAAGGAGTAGCGTTTTAAAGGAATTTCACAGAAAATTATATTTTTAGTAACCATGGCAACACCGTTCATTGAAATTAAAAACCCATGCACTATTCTATGTATCTTAGTGTAGTCTACTTGTGTGCCAAGTTATATTGAAATCAGACTAAAATTGTAGGAGGAGTAGCGTTTTGAAAAATTGTTTACAGACAGATGGACAGACAGACGGACAGACAGACAGACAGACAGACAGACGGACGGACGCCGGACGCATTACTATCGCATAAGCTCTTCTGGTCTCTGACCAGTAGAGCTAAAAACCCAAGATGCATCAACTCACAAAGTTTGATGATTCTAAGCCAATAAATACCTAAGATACTTAAATATAGCCATAAAATGTCAAAAGTAGGTCACCGTGACGTACATTTTGGTCGAAATTTTAAAGTCCCAATATGCATCTCCTGACCAAGTTTGATGATCATAGGTTTGAAGGTAATCAAAATATGCCATTTAAACAATTTGAAAACAAATGCCTGCAAAATTCTAAAAGTAGGTCACAGTGACCTACTTTTTCTTAAATATGTTTTAAGGTCCCATGATGCAGCAACTTACAAGATTTGATGATTCTAACCCTTTCAGTACCTGAAATAATGGGATTAAATGTTTTAAAAAGGATAAGTCATAAAGTTCAAAAAGTAGGTCACGGTGACCTACTTTTAAGTTGACGTTGTTCAAGGACCCAAGATGCATCAACTGACTAAGTTTGATGATCATAGGCCTTAAAGTATCCAAAATATGCCTTTAAATCAATTTGAAAACAAATGCCCGCAAAATTTAAAAAGTAGGTCACCGTGACCTACTTTTGAGTTAACATGATGTGAAGTCCTAAGATGCATCAACTTACAAGATTTGATGATCCTAGTCCTTATAGTAAGCAAAATATGAACATTTTTATTAATTGTAAATTTAGGTCAACTTTAAAGTGACCTTGAGACCACGCCCTTTGCCCCAGGGTCATGCCTTGAACAATTTTTAATCTTCAACATATCCTGATCCTTGTATGTAAATTTGGTGAAAATCAGCCTGGTGGTTCTGGAGAAGAAGATTTTTTAGCAACCAGTACTTTTGGTTTTGTTTTCCTGATTATCTCCCCTTGTTTCAGGGTCCCAACCCTTATTTTAGTATAAATGGTAGCCCTTGGGCCAAGGATACCCTGTGACAAATTTGACACGGATTGGCCAAGGGGTTCTTGAGTTATGGCCCATATTCTAAAAAGTTAACGCACACCGCACACCGCACACCCCACGACGCACAAATGGCCATAGCATTAGCTCTTTGAGCCTTTGGCTCAGAAGAGCTAAAAATATCTTGAATGGTATCTTTAAAACTGAGCTAAACACTCATTTAAGAAAAGTGAGGTCAAGGTCAAAGGAAAGGTCATGGTCAAAAATGTTGATGCAGTTACATAGCTACTGCATAGCTCTCATCAATATCTATCACACTATGAAGTTTGATGAAAATATCTTGGATAGTTACTTTGAAACTCAGCTTTGAACTGAGTAAACGCAGTGTGAGGGAAAGACAGACGGAAGGACAGAAGATGGACATGACAAACACTATATGCCCCAGCCATTTTCATGGCGGGGCATAAAAATTATGCTTCCAATTCTTAAGCAAAAGCTCAATAAACTGGGTGATTTTGGCAACAATTTTAACTTTGTTTATTGAAGTTTTAAATATCTGGATTGTTTTGAAGGAGGAAATTAATTTTTTTCAAATAATTTTCATTGAAATCATTTTAAAAATTCCTACCTCTACATGCCAAGCCTTCCCCAACGCATGTACAACTCTCTCTTCAATAGGACGTCTAAAAAACACAAAGGAATAAATTCTTATCTACTTTTAATGAAACTCAAGCAATTTTTGCTTGCATAATGAAAATGTCACCCCAAAGAAAATATTTCAGATTCTCAATAAACAGTTTGAACTGTAATTAAATCTGAACTTAAATGCATCTAAACCAACAGAATCTCATTTTCATTCTAGATTACTGAGACTAACCTGCATGCCCCACAGATAGGGATTCCCATTTTATCGTGACAGCGTAGACAATAAAGTTCTCCCGACTTCTCTCTGGCATCTGCATTTAGCTCTGAACTGTAAACAAAGGGAGATAAACAATACAATCCTTCTAATGGCACAGCCATAAATAAAATTGAGTTTTTTTAAAATAAAAACAATACATTTCTCTTGTAGAGATGTCTTGTTTCAAATAAACAAGTTCAATGCTCACAATGTAAAAAGTACTTGTAATGAGCCACTTCGACCAAGAGCCACTTAGGGATTTTTTGTGCTTATCAATGCATTATGATGTCATGAATTGCATCATTATACACATATCCATCTTCGCTCGCCTAATCTACAACCCTTGGCAGATTATGTCTTATCAAACGGGAACTTTAATTGCGCCACCTATCACCATAATTGAGTTAAGTCCCTTGAAGTTCTTGAATATTTGTCCAATGAAAATAGCTGTAACATATGTAAATCAATATGACGTTTGAAACAATATGGCGACCTACATGCAATTTGATGTGGAATATAACCACCCAACAACCTCATACAGCTGTTGGCACAACTCAAAAGTGGTAGAAAATATCGTTCTTCGCCATTTTTTGTCTCGAGTTTGACAACACTTTCTACATGTTGCCGTATCAATTATTATCAATGAGCCGTGACATTTGATTGGCAGAACACGGACTTATGTGGTCCTTTCAATAATTCTTGAAAACATATGTAATCAAAAGAAAAAAAATCAAATTAATTACTCCCTTGTTTTTTTAGCATAGATCACGTCCTAACTTTCATCCCTTGTAAATAATATTCTTCTTTTGCATACAACACAAACAAACTTTAATTCAGCCGAAAATCGTCCATTGGTAAAAACCTTGTGTAGACTGGGACTTAAGGAGCCAAATCAAATTCGTTGCGCGAGTTCTAAAATTTCAGCCAAATCTGCCAAGGGTTGTGGTCTATTTTCGGATAGGAAACCCTCGGCTAAGGAGATCTGACACATATCCTGAATATTTCTTTCTTCAAAAATTGCCAAATATGATATTTTCACTATTTGGTATACAGCACAACCTTAGACCCAAAATGTGTAAATATATCATGAAAGAACTGTTCATGTAGATTAAAACATTATTTTCTTTTTTGGATTGAGGGGCGTGCTCAGATTTTATTTTTTTGTTGAAGGTTCTCAAAGACTCAAACACACTTTTTTTTCTGCAAAATTCAAGAACTCCGGTCTGTCAATATATATTTTTTCGGAGAGATCCAGTTCTGCAGCTATGACAATATTATATTCGGGACTTACCCACAAGAGCTGCAGTTAAAGTGATAAGGGTGGTAGGCCTCTCCCCGGAACTTGATGTGTCCAGAATCAATGATGGCACTGAAATTCAGCACAATATCAGGTTTAATGTCTTTTTATTGCAGTTTGCTCAACACTAACTTATGACCAAAAGTATTTACATAATCTTCCTTTTTTTGTTATAAGGAAAACTGTTTAAAATATTATTTGAAAGTTTTTCCCCCAAAG